TGTGTGTGTGAGAGAGAGAGAGTGAGAGAGAGCGAGTGAGAGGGAGGGAGGAGGGGGGAAAGAGAGAGAGCGAGAATTGAATCTGTACTTAGTGCTGACCTCTTGTGTTTGGATCACTCAGAGTGGATGTTAATACCAGGTCAGATCAGGGTCTAAACAAATATCCCCGTCACTTTGTTTCTGTTAAACCTGTAGATTCACTGCGTATAGACCTCTCCTTGTAGCATCAAGTCTTTAAACTGGAATTGTTGTGGCAGTCTATTTTACTGACTGACGAATATTATACGGTTTGGAATCAAAATGCCATGGAAATACTTGGAAATCTGAGCAACATCTCATCTGGTGTTTATGTTTGTCCCTGCCTTCATACATTCATGTTGCATTCAATGTTTGTAGGACGCAAGCATTTGTGTTTGTGCTGTGGTTTTTGAGCGAGGCTTTAGTGTGTCATCATTATTGATGTCAGCAGAGGGTAATTGCTATAGATGTCTGTGTTTCAGGTTTTGATGTGAGTATTGTGCCGCTCTTGGTGTTGTGTTTCTACTTACTTATCTTAACATCTTGAATATACTGTGTGCTCTGTGTTTCTCCCTGTGATTGTGGTCAGAGGTCATCTGATTTTATAAAATGTCCAGAAATAATTCAAGGATTTTTTTTACATATCACTGTGCTAATAGATAAAAGGAAATCAACCTTGGTAAGAACTACTAACACATGGATGTGACTATAAGAGATGTGGACATTTGTGATTCATTAAGTGTTTTATGTACTCATGTTCTGTGTTGCCCCTTGGTCGGTGACAGAGATCATACCTTGGCTACCATGTGGCGGCCTTGTGGTTTCACATGTCCTCAGAAACCACGCTGCCTGCCGTCTCACCCCTCTCCCACATCTCCCACCTCCCATCTCTGTGAACTTCTATGTTCCTGTGTCTCTTGTCTAATGGGATCTCCTTGTTTCGACTCAATAGCGGATGTTGTTCAGTCTCATGGTGGTGTCTTCATGGACAGTTCGTACCCCTCATCCCCCGTAACGGGCCCCCTCTCCCGGGGCCAGCGGAGGGCCAGTGAGGTCAGCATTGCCAGCCAGGTCTCAGGAATGGCAGACAGTTACACTGCCACCAACATAGCTAACAGTAAGTGTTCTCAATACCAACCAGTCTCTCTATCTCTCTGCCTTCCACTCACACAAACACTGGTACAAGTTTTTTTTTTTTTTTTCCTCCATTTTTTCGAGCTTTTCTCTATCAGTCTGTCTCCTTAACTCTACTCCCACATCTTCTCTCTCTCAACCCCTGTTCCTCTGACTTTACACACACACACCCTGCACTCCAGCGGAACAGACGAGTCAGACAGGTAGAGCACGAATACCTCCCTCCTTTTGCTATTCAACCAGCCAGGCTGAACACCGGCACCAAGCAGGGAGACTCATGCGGGTCACTTCGTCAGCCTCCTGTTAAAAGTCCCAAGCAGAGTCCTGAAGAGCGAGCTTAGCGCCACTCTCCACTGTCTGTCTTTCTCTTCTCCACTGTCTCAATGTAAATGCAAAGAACGAGTGCTGCATTTATCTGATGTTGTTATGCATGTAGACACCTGCCTCCCTCAGCCATCACTGCACTGTCCACTCCCTACTGCGATGTCCACTGAGATAACTGGTATTCTGTTTCCTGTTTGTTTGATTGTCCTCCTGAGCCCCCTGTCCCTCACTCTTTCACTTTTGTTACCAGAACCTTTGTGTGTACTTCACATTATTTTTCTGAAAACTACTTTTTTAGCACCCATGGCACAACTAGGAAGGTGCACATGACAAGATCTATGTATCCGACCATCCTAATTGTTGATAACTGTTATTTTTCAGCTTTCGCCCCAGCAGCTGTGTTTAAGGCAGCTCACTGACACTGGACTCATCCCAACATTGTTCTTCAAACTGTCATAAACTCTTTTTTACTTGGCGTCTTTCTCTTTTCTTCTCTTCCCATAGCCAATTCATGCCAAAATAACCAATCCAAAAAGTTGAGCCTTTTGTCCCAACTCGCCTTATCGTCACAAAATAAATTCTTCCTGAAAAGTCCTCCTAAGTCCCGTAAGAAAGCACGGGCTGGCCAGGCGGCGGGATCTCCCGATGCAGATCTAGCAGCAGAGCTGGACGCTGAGGCAGACAATAACGAGCCTCTAAGTCCCACTGGCCAGTACGAGAACTGCCTGTCAGCAGGGCTGGACTGTGCTATATCTGAGTTGGTCTCGCTGGACTCCCAGGCTGAAGTGGAGCAAGGTATATTTCTAAGGGAGGGGACAAGTGAAATAAACGTGAAGCTACAGGTCTTTTTCTGTGTGCTGCTCTATGCTTTGCTCCAAATCCAAAGATTTTTGCTGCTCTTGCAGAAAGCCTCTCTTTCCTCCTCTTTACTTGGATGCTTTGAAAATTGTATACATAAATACATAGATTCAAATCGCTTCCACTAATGAGGGATAATTGTAAACCCAAATCGTGCAGCTTCTTTCCAAATCCATCATCTTTTTTTCAGGCCTGTACTAACATGTTTTTCTTCTTTCTGTACTTGAATGCCTGCACTTCAACACTTCTTGTCAATAAGGGTTCTAAACTCCTTCCTCTCCCTCCTAAAGCTGAAGAACTGCTGGGATCAGTGATGATTGTGGTTAAAGATTGAAATAATAGCTTCAGGGGTGCTTCACCTTTGCGTGGCATCACACACCTCCCACTAGAAGTGTCATCTTACATCTCTGTCACCCTATTCCCTCAATTCCACTCGCAGTTGCTGCACGCTGGTGGGGCACAAAGCGGCTGGACTTTGCCCTGTACTGCCCCGATGCTCTGACCGCTTTTCCCACAGTGGCTTTACCGCACCTCTTCCACGCCTCTTACTGGGAGTCCACTGATGTTGTGTCTTTTCTCCTGAGACAAGTGAGTAAACCTTATAATCCCTGCCTTTCTTTATGGCCTGTTAATATGTGACTTGCAGGATGAGTCATTGAAATGTCCCCTGTAGGTCATGAGGCATGAAAACTCCAGCATCCTGGAGCTCGATGGGAAAGAAGTGTCTGAATTCACCCCGTCCAAACCTCGAGAGAAGTGGCTCCGCAAGAGGACTCATGTAAAGATCAGGGTAGGAATCAGACACCAGTTTCAAGGTGCTTTGGAGCTGGAGTTGATACTTTCTATAACATATAATATGATTCATTCTAATCACAACATCCAGGGTTCAATACTAGACTTGTCTTTCAAAATAAAGTTCTTCAGATATTCAAAAGAAACTCTAGAAAAAGCAACTCAGCATCGAGTGTTGTCTTTTCATCTGCTTGCTCATAGTTTTGCAGCTCCGTGTTGATCAGTGATCTGTTGGACTCATGATCCATGAGGATGTATTATCCTGGTATATTAATGAAACCGAGTAGAAACAATACAACCGTGGAGGGCGGTAGTGCATAAACCTGGTAAAGCCTGTATGGGACATAAAGCTAACGCAATACATTTGTCAACACTACACCTGGCATGCTATTGGTCGGGTAATTTCCGACAGCACACAGAAGCAGCGTGAGTGCGAAGAGACGAGCTGAAGCTGGTGCAAGAGCTCCGCTTGAGCACAAGAAGGGGCAATTTGAGTGCGTGCTCTAGGTTTTGTGAAATCAAGAAGTTCTGCTCTTAAACTGAAAGACCACACTCTTAAAATGGAAATAAACCCCATAACCCTTGTGGTATAGTTCAATTCAAACACAAAAACTACATTTCTCCATGCGTCTTTCTTTGTCTCCTGCGACAGAATGTCACTGCCAACCACCGGGTGAACGATGCTGTGTTAAATGAGGACAGTCAGCAGGTCGTGACAGGTCGCTTCATGTACGGCCCTCTGGACATGGTCACTTTGGCCGGAGAGAAGGTGAACTTTCGTGGACTATCAGACTGTGTGTCACTGATGCCATGTGTAACTTGTGATCTGTGTAACTTGTGCTCATCTTTTTTTGTTTTTCAACCCCTGTCCAGGTTGACCTCCACATTATGACCCAGCCTCCATCAGGAGAGTGGGTGTACTTCAACACAGAGGTGACAAACAGCAGCGGCCGTGTGTCTTTTATCCTCCCAGAGGACAAGCGACTGGGCATCGGAGTCTACCCAGTTAAAATGGTTGTGAGGTGAGATTAGTTTGGTAGTTTTTCAATATCCAAGACCTGATGATGTGTGTAGTTTATTGATTTTATATATTTTAGTGTCCTCAAAGTGCAATTCAAGAAAATGCATTTGTCTCTGTTCTTCTCCTTATTGCTCAGGGGTGACCACACGGTTGCAGACAGCTACCTGACAGTTATTCCACGTGGCACAGAGTTTGTGGTATTCAGTATTGACGGGTCTTTTGCTGCCAGTGTGTCAATCATGGGCAGCGACCCCAAAGTGAGAGCAGGAGCTGTGGACGTTGTCAGGTACCTACTACGCTTCTTCATGTCGTTTTGAAGTTTTTCCAGATCAAACTATGTAAACATGTTTGGTTGTTACTTATGTCTTCATTCTCTTGTTGCTCCTCTTTGCAGGCACTGGCAGGATTTGGGTTATTTGATCATCTATGTAACAGGACGTCCAGACATGCAGAAGCAGCGGGTGGTGGCTTGGTTGTCTCAGCACAACTTCCCTCATGGCATCGTCTCCTTCTGTGATGGCCTGGTCCATGACCCACTCAGACACAAGGCCAATTTCCTCAAGAATTTAACAGAGGTCAGACGTAAATCAATGGAGGACGGGGGGGGGGTCTTTGTGCAGTTTTAGAAGCACTCTAGTTTGTGTCTGTATGTGCGTGCGTGTGTAGTCTTAATCTTTTTCGAATAAAGAATACAGTTTTATATGTGAAAACTAAAACAGCAATGTTTACATTGTGTTACTATGTAAAAAATATTGATTAAGTTGTTAATGTTGAAGATCCTTCATTTCACTCATTTCAGGCTCACATGAAGATTTTCGCCGGCTACGGATCAACCAAAGACATCTCAGTCTACACCTCCATCGGCCTCCCTGCCTCCCAAATATACATCGTCGGCAGACCGTCCAAGAAGATGCAGCACCAGTGCCAGGTTCCGTCTGATCGTTTTTATGCAAAACCTAGGAAAAGCTCTTTCTAATTTAAAATTAATACTCTACTCTAATTCTAGACTAAATACACAAAGCTCTGTGTTTTAAAATAATACAGTAGAGTGCATACTTCCACCAAGACCAAACAGTAAATTCAATCAAACTGTATCTGCACACACTCGTATGTATCAGTTCTCTGAAATAGTCTGATTTCTTTTCATCAGGATCAATAAATTATTCCCATAAAATGTTAAATCTCTATTTTGCAATGTTCACGAAAGTGGGAAAAAAATCATGGATCTTCTCTTTTTCTGAAGAACAAACTTATGGACAGGAGGCGAAAGAATAATAATTAAATGTAACAGTATGTCTCTGCTCTGATCCTCTCTACAGTTCATCACAGAGGGCTATGCAGCTCACTTGTCCCAGCTGGAATACAACCACCGTTCTCGGCCAGCCAAGTCCAGCACTGCTCGCATGGTGCTGCGTAAAGGCAGCTTCGGCTTGGGCGCCAACAGCGACTTCCTGAGGAAGAGGAACCACCTGCTCCGCACCATCTCCTCCCAGCCGGCTCCCAGCTCCCCGACGGGCAGCATCCACAACAGACCGGAGCGCACGCAGAGCCAGTCGGACAGCGAGCGGCTGGAGAGGGAGCGGCTGGAGCGCACTCACAGCCACAGTCAGGGAGCGACCCAGCGCAGCATGAGCATCACGGCGAGCTGCTGGGGCCGCAGCAGCAGCACCAAGTTTGAACCAGGAGCTCTCAGCCCAAAATGAGATTGGAGACACAATGTGAGACTTCCTTCAGGAGAGGGACTTATAGATGCAGTGCTGAGGAAGAGACATGGGACATTAGGTTAAACGGAAAGAGGGAAAAACAGTTTGCTTGCACCAGACGGGTTATTACTACAAGCAAAATCACAGGTGCTACAAACCACTCTTTATAGAACTAATGCCAGTCACACTTATGGACAGAAGCTGCAGCTTTACTTATTATAAAACACACCCACAACTCAACAGGCATTTCAAGAAGCATCTTCCTGAAGAAGGAACATGCACACAAACAGACCTGGCAGATATTGTGGGAATCCAGACTGTTTCTACTGTTTAGTAAATATTTATCCGTCTTAAATACAATGTGAGTTTTACTCCTACAACAGGCTTTTAGACTGGAGATGGCTACTTATGAAAGAGCACCCCCCCCCCCCCAGATTGTATCAGGTTCACATTCTGATACAACTCAGCAAGCACAACAATTACTACAGAGATCAAGTTTATGAGGAATAGTTTTAAAGCCAATGTCGTTTTTATGAGAGAATCAGATTAGTTGTAGTTTAAGAGAATCAGGACAAACTGGACTGAGTGTGTTTCAGTCATTTAGCCAAGATTAGTCTTTACTAGAATTTCTTAAGATTTATTAAAAGTATAGAGCAAAGATTTGATCCAGAGCTGCTACGTCTCTTGCATTAAAGCATTTACAAACCGCAATGACAAATCATACAGTCCAGTTTTGCTTGTTTTCTATTTGTCCCTCAGACCAAGGAGTCATTCAAATATCACATGGAGCAAACTGCGAAATTACCCTTTAACTATGGTCGCAGCTGAAACTGTTCCTGAGGTTTTTATAGCATTTCACCAAAATCCCACCGCGCTGCTGCACCTTCCTAATACGTAATGTATGACTCCGCTATAGGGAAAACTCCTTCTACTGTACGGTTAATGTGCCAAAGCAAACAGTGTGGATTGATATGCTGTACGTGAACGGAGGATATAATGAGGGTGTCCTGTGTAAAAATGGAATAGATTGTGTAAGTATGTAGTTGATTGCCTTCACAAGGCTTGTACATAATTGTTATATTACAGTGCAGATCTGGTATCTGGTCCACTGAAGACCAGTTTCAAGTGTCTTCTTTCCTTTGGGGATGAAAACTGCCTCATTCAGGATCCACTTTATTGATTGATGATGATTATTATTGTTATTTAAGATTATAGATATTTTAAAATGTCTTGATTTTGTGAACAAAATGTGTTTTAAGATTACTTTAGCTATATTGTGTGTTTATTTTATTCCTTCAGTCTAAACTTTCAGTCGCAGCAGCCAAAACTCAGAGGTCTTTGCCTAGCACAGTATTGTATTTTTATTCTTTTATCCTGCAGATCACCAGAATTGTATCAACAGAACTGCTATCTCGTGACATATATAGTATGTTTGCTATTATCTATTTTGGAAATTTGGGATATATGGCTTCTCTCTGGTTATCCCCAAGCTGTAAATGAGGCGCTGAATGTGCTCAGATAATCCTCCCGAGGTTAAGGTTTCGTTCACCCGTTCTGCTGCCAAGTTAGAGGAAGTTGAAAATCTGCAAAGTGTAAATTCTGTACAAAATGCTGTCAGAAGTAGGAGCACGGAGCTAAGATTTACTTTATGCTGTAGGCCATTTTATTTCTGATGTATTCATTCACACAATGTTGATCTGTCCCTCCGATAGGCGTGTGCGGAGCTGACTGCAGTGGACCAATATGGGCTCGAGTGTGAGGGGAAACGTGCAATATATTACTCAACCACACCACACGTTCAAACTGACTGCGTTGAAGAAATGTCACAGTGCATTGACAATCAGTTGAACAGGCACATATTCTACAGAGGTCACAGACACACACGTGCATGCATGTCCATTTTAATGTAACATAATCCGTAGTCCCACAAGGGGGGGGGGGGTTTACCATGGTAGATTTCCCACAGTAAATTCTCACTGATGTGATTTTACATTAGGTTTACTCCAGTGGACACACACGTGCTCAGTCTTTGATTTAGTTGTGGCGTTTACGTTCCAGCACATGAACCAACGCAACACTGACAGTGAGAATGACCCCAAATATCAACGCTTGCTAAAGATGATTCAGTCAGCCCAACACCGGCATTCACAAAGGTTCCGCACTTGAACTGTCAATGCAAGTGAAAGGTTATTTTTAGGGTCTGTGGTTCATGGTGCTGTTAAATAGACTGTCCCTGAGGTTTTTATAGCATTGCATATATCACCGGGTTCACACTGTTGCCATTTTTCTCTGACGTCATCTTCAGGTCGGGAAGCTTTAACGCTTTTGTCAACTGAACTTGTTTTCATTTCACTGCTTCCTCACTGATCAGCAAATCTGGAGGCACATGAAACCATGTTTCCAAGTTAAACGACGTATTTTAAAAGCTCTTTAGACTGTTCAGTTTACATCGACACAAACGTTTGTTTTAATGGAGCATTTAGATCACAAGCTTGATTCCGGTGCATTTCACGTCCAGGCTTTAATAACTGTGTCCCAGAAACTTAAGTGCAGTTATTTTTCAAAATGAAAATGTGTTTCCCACTATATCAGGTCCCAGTAATTAACAGTGATGTGAGAGAGACAGTGGTTCATTGCTAACATTAGCTGATGTCCAATCATAGATAATGATTATATATCCTTGCAACAATACAAATACATTGCTTAGCTTTGAAACATGCCCCCATGTCCGTCCAGATTTTAACCCTCTATTGTCTTCTCAGTTGCTGATGAGTTCGGGACGTGTGAAATTATGAGTTAGTCCGATTCTTTAATGACTTTGAAACCTGGATCACAGGAGTACATTACATCATTGATGAGGAAAATATGGCCGCTGTTTGAACGTGGTTGATTGTATTGTGTTCCACTGAAGAGTTTCTAATATTTCATCCACTACACAACTCAGTGAGGAGTATTAGAGGACTGAGGTAACGTCTCAGTGTAAATGTACCTCTTCCCTCCCTCATGCTTCTTTGATCCTGGTGAAAGACGATGTAGTTCATACTGTCCCTCTGCATTCTGACTCTTTCAAGATTAGGTTTGAAGCCATATTAACAACTCTTAGGAAAGCTGCTATTTAAATAACGGCTGTTTGTACGTTCGTAGTGATAAAGGGGGAAAAATCAACGCTGGAAAACATGCACTCATGTGAAGTTGGTAACTACTGAACCATTTTCCCTTCCTCAGAGGTCTGTGAATTGCTTGGTTATTAAAATCCAGAGAATGTAAAAGACGCAGCAGTTATCTGTGAAGTTCGGATACCTCTGGGCAGACACTAGATTCTGCTACAGACACACACTTTACCAGAGGCCTTACATTTCCCTTCTCTGCCTTACATTGACCATTGTGTTGCGAGGCCAGAGAATGAACGCTGCTCACACCTGAATTGACTTCATGGACAGGGACAGACTGCTGTTGAAAAGGCTATTTTCTTAGAAAAGGCTGTGGTTTGTTTTACTAAGGAAATGTTAAAAAAGGGGAAATGTTTTCAACATATTTCACGTTTGGCAAGTCATCGCTGTCTCAAGCTCTGCCACAAACAGTTTCCCCATCAGTTCACTTTCACAGGCTGTAAATACATAAACAACATACCATGGTAAATTAAGCGTAGAAAATATTTTCATTGTACAGCCTGTGTATCTCGTAGGTTTTGGATAATTTCCTTTTATCCATTCCCTTGTGTTTTTATGTACAGTGTATAAAGAACATATAAAGATCAACCAAGTCATTGGGGCCTTTTTTCCCACATACATAAGAATATTAACAAGAATTTAGTTCAGCTTGATTTCAACTGAATTCATATCACTAAACAAACGTTATTTCTCTGGGATTAGCTCACACAAATGAAGATTTATTCAGAGATACAAAACGTGAGATATAAAGGTGGGAAGACTCAGTGGGTGTAAGATATGTAGGTGAAATACAAAAAGACAAAACTGTTTGTTGTGTCGTGCAGGAAACAGAACATTTAAAGAATCATCTCAATGCTGATTTGAAATACAGAAATCCTGAGAGGCTGGGGCCAATCCCAGCAGGCAGGACGAGAGGCTGGGGACACAGCGGACATGTCACCATCGCATCACAGAGCCGACAGAGACAAACAACCATTCACGCTCACATTCACACATACTAAACAATTTAAGAGTCTCCAATTAACCTAACCCCAATCTGCATGTCTTCAGACTGTGGGAGGAAACAGAGAAGCTGGAGAAAACCAGACAAAAGACTCCGGGGATTGAACCAAGAGCCTTATAACAGTGAGGCAACCGTGTTAACCAGAGTCCGACTGAAACTTAAACCTTATTATCAATAGCTATAAATGAAGAAAACAGAACTACAACTAAATGTATGGCACTTGAAATAAGAAAGAAACTATTTTTAAATTAAATCCAAAAACTTTCAATCTTTTCTGAATTGTTTATTCAGTGAAATAAAAGTTTTCATAATAAGTCTGATGAGATATTGGGACTCTGGTCATGAAATTCTGCTTTTCAACATGAATCAGAGTAAACATCAATGTTCAAACTATCTGGTCGTTGTGTTCACTCCTTATATAGATTAAGTGGAATCAAACAGATTTAAATTCAACATAACGGTATTCATCTGTTTTTCTTTGAATCACTTTTGTGATCAGCTTAAATTAAAAAAGACAAATCAGTAGAAGTTGAAGACTTTTACTTGGATTTGACTCATTAGTGAACAGAGTGCGTTTTTTTTTAACCTTTTCTACATTCACCACTGTACTGAACACATTAATCCCAAGCAAATCTTAATATAAAACACAAACTCAATATACAATTCAGTCACGATCTAAAAAAGTGTTCCTCCTCCATAGAACTGTCAGTGTCAGCAGTGTGGGAAACCTCTTCTTAGTGAAGGACTCCTCTGCATCTTCTACCTGTTGATCCCCAGTTTTCTCTGGAAGGCATTCCCGTCTCCCTTGGTGGCTTGCTGCGGGTTGAACAAATGAACAAATGTTCAATCGACTAAAAGTTAATGTGTTCATTTCACAAAGCTACAGCTGAACGTTTCTTTTTTTTTTTACCTTGTTGACCTCTTTGTGTTTTTCTCGGCTGACGATCTCCTCTATGATTTCTCCCTCTCCTCTCACCAATCTAGAGGAAAGCAGAAAAACAAGATTCAGTTTTTCTGCGTTGTGGATTGTAGGTGCATGCTCCGTGGTTGTGCCTTACCTGGTGCGTCCTGATTCAGGGTCCACAATCCTGCGGATCACACTCTGCCTGGCCTCATACTCCTCCTTGGTGAGCGGTCTCTTGGTGGAGAGCCGGGCCTTCTGCTCATCGGTCATGACTGCAGTGGAAGACAAAAGTTAAATCACTGAACTTGAATCGTTTGCTTTGGTGGAAGAAACCAGAGATGTGCAAAATGTCCCACCAGGTCCGAGCTCCACCGCCCCCTCATCACTCTGCCACACCTCCAGATAAGACGGAGGTTTTTCTGCTGGACTGATGGACAGCAGTACCTCTGTCTTCTTCTCCTTCTCTTTCTTCAGCTTCTCCTGCTTCTCCTTCTTCTCCTTCTTCTTCTCCTTCTTCTCCTTCTTCCTCTGTTTCTTGAGCTTTGCCTTTTTCTTCTTCAGCTTCTTTTTCTTGGATTTACTTTTCTTCCTCTTTGTCTTCTCGTCACTTGACGGGGACGAAGATGACGAGGAGGAGGAGGATGACGAAGAGGAGGAGGAGTTTCTTCTTCGCTTCTTTCTTTCAGTTTTCACATCTGAGGGACAAACAGAGAGTAGTGACGGTTTACCGCAGGTGTTGTTTCACTGCAACGTGACGGTAGATCTCAATTAAAAACAGTGTTCATGACTATAGGTTTGTGACAAGGGTTCAGATGTTTGTCTACAGAATGGTGGATTTAAAGGTACAGTGTGTAGAATTTTGTGATATGTACTGTTGCAGCTGAACACCCCTCACCTCACCCTCTCCTTCTAAACATGCAAAAGAACATTTGGTAACCTTTAATTGTCATAAAAACTCAAAAGGTGTTTAGTCCAGTCTGGACTAATGTAAAAAAAAAACATGGCGGCCTCCGTAGAGAGGGTCCCCTCGATGTAAATATAAAGTATTTAAATATAAAGGGCCTTTTCTGGGGTAAAGAAAACTACAATTCATACAATTTAGATGAAATGAACTAGTGAAAACATTATGAGGATTATTCTACATTAAATTTTGCCAATAGTTCCCTTTCACCTAAATCTTACACACTGGACCTTTAATGGGAGGCACAGGGAGGCTGATATAAATGTATATGAACTGAACAGAACCTAACTCACTATGTCTCTATCCGTCTGTGTTTTGTGAATGTGTAAAACAATCTCCAAATGTGCAAATCTGTATTTAAAGTGTGTGTTTGTGAGTGTGTGTGTAAGTGTTCAGATTTCAAAGTGTATTTATATCTGTAAATGTGTAGACAAATCTGTTTACACGCACACGCACACTCTAAATACAGAATGTACATTTGGTCATTATTTTACACACTCAAAATGTGACGTCACAGACGGAGTGAGACAATAATAACTGACCCTTGTTGACAGAAGAGTCGCTCATGCGTCCACTGACATATCTGAGCTTCTAAAACAACTGTGCTTTAATGACCCATTGTAGACGAACGTATAAAACCAAGGCTCTGAATTCACACTGATCTCAACCTTGGCTCTTGTGCGTCTCTTTCTTGGACGACCTGCCCCGGCTCCTGCTGCTGGATGAGGAAGACGACGGAGAAGAGGACGAAGAGGAGGAGGACCGCGTCCGTTTCTTCCTCTTCTTCTTCTCTCTGTCTGCTCTGTCATGTGACCTGCTGCGACCCATCGTCAGAGAAACGCCACGAAGAGAAGTCGCCGCTGAAGAGTCCGGAGAAGATCATGAAAACCAGCAGCCGAGCATCAGCGGCCATTCAAGTTCGGCTTCTATTTCCTTCCGGCGGCGTCTAGGAATACAACATTAAAGGTTCCTGGTTCCTACTTGAAATGCGCAGCGCTCATTTGCTCACAACGGCAGAAGAAGAAGATTTTAATTCTAATAAAGTTACAAATAGAAATCAGAAATGTACCTGATCACATTTTAGCTTAGCTCCTTCTGAAATGTGCATCATCTAATCTGCAGTACTCATTTTAAAGTAATGCATTAAAGGGTATTTTTCTTATATATTAAAAAAACAGTAATATCCCTCTTCAGTATGCAGAATAACCTTCATATAAAAATGCCATTAAACAGATACTAGATCAATCTTATTTGATATATTAAAACACACACCATTGACCATTTGCTTACCATACAAATCTCCTGTGCAATCTGAAACGTATTGCACATAATTTTGTATTGTACATAATTGTATTTTTAATTTTATACATCTCATTTAATTTCATTGTATAGTTTTATACTATAGTTACTTTCTTCTTAACTTGCTTGATCTAAAACCCAAGTTTCTGCTTAATATGTTTGTTATTCACCAAACACAAATGAATATTTTCCCTGGGTTTAATATTTAATTTTTATTTAATTTTTATTGGTTTTAGCAGAGCACTACCAGGGGAAGTTAAAGTGGAGCGCTTTGCAGATCTCACCATTATTTGCACCAAATAGAAAAATCCCTTCAGACCTGTGGTACCTCAAAAAGTACCACAAGAGCAATAAGACAAAGTGTTAAATTAAAATTTAAACAAGTGTTAATTTATCTACTTGTCATCAAGTTAAACCATGTTAATGTTAAGGTGACTGAAAAAGTCCACTGCTTCTTAACAAAAGAAAAAGATCTTTGTTGGGGAATTGACCTTTGTGTGAGAAGGGTAAAGTGTTTCTGACCAAAATACTTCAGTGTATCAAATACTGAGGTTGCATTGAGTGAATTTGCTTCCATGTCATAAAAAAAAAGCGTCAGCAAGTTAAAGGAATAGAGTGATACAACTACATTTTGACAGTGATCTGTAGAGAGAGAGACAGTTTGTGATCCAGTATTTGATTTTTTCTTTAAAAGAGTGGGGGCACTGGTGTGAATTGAAATGTCTGCTATGTTCAAGTGAGTTCAGAGTGAGTTTAGAGACTTGGATCTGTGGGGGACTGATATCATGTCAGTTACATAATGTTGGATCTGTGGATGAAGGCAGGAATAGATGGTTATTAGACTCCAGTGATATGATACAATGCAACGCATTCAGAGTAATGACTTATATTTAGAATCTATTAGCATGTATCTGACACTGTACTGCGGTCACTTCATTTCAGACGAACACAAGGAGACACCATTAGTGTGCACAGTAAGCGTCACATGTGAGAACAAATTCGTATTATTTATTTCAAGGTTTTTACAAAGGCAATTGTGAATCTTTAAAGCTTGTATGTTGATAACAGACGTGTTCCTGATGATGTTAGCCCTTATTACTCTTGATGCACAAGGCTAAACTAACAGGAAAAAAAGGACAGTCGCTCAGCTTCTCACAGGCTTTGAGGGAAATACTGTAGTAATCTGTCTCCATTCAAGCTTAAATCTGATCCCACTGAAGCAATAAATAAAACAGTCTCTCAATATTTCTTAAAATACTTTGAACACGATAAATACCGAGAAACGTGTTACATAAAACTTTCAGCTGCATGAGTGAATGTAACAGTCTAAACACGGACTTGAAGTTAGGAGATGTTTCAGATGTCAGCAGGAACGGAGCCTTAAAGCTATCATCTTTCCAGTCCGTGTGCAAGGGGAGCTGGTCACGTTACTCCCAAAAAAAAAGGGTCGGTAGTGTTAAAGTGGGCGGAATGTGTCACTGCTGCTGGAATTCGCCCCAGCTCATTAAGATGCAGCCGCCATGCGGATCCTCTCGGGTGGATACAGCAAAACATTCTTAGCGGCTTTAATAGTGTTTTTCATGAGCATCGCCACAGTCATGGGACCAACACCACCGGGTACTGGAGTGATGAAGCCCGCCTTCTGTCTCACACCTGAATAGGGACAGAATAAAAAATGAGGTTAAATATACCTGAGACACAGAGTAACACTTTGCAGACACACCACCGTGTTCACTGTGCTGCCCTACCTTCAAAATCCACATCTCCGACTAATCTGTCCTTCCCAGTGACCGGGTCCTGCACTCTATTTATTCCGACGTCAATCACCGCTGCTCCCTCTTTGATCATGTCCGCGGTAATGAGGTTCGGAATCCCTGAAAGATTCAGCAATGCAGTATCGTTAGAAACCAGAGGAACAATTGAATCTGCTAAACAGACTTTGAACAGATCAGTCATGAATCAGACAAGTAGAGACACGAACCTGCAGCAGCCACAACAATATCAGCGATCTTAGTGTGTTGGCCAAGTTTATCCTTTGGAGTGTATCTGTGAGAAATGGTGACCGTGGCATCACCTGAAACAGAATTAAGGTTTAGTATGTAAACTTTAACTGTATCCTCTCAAACTATTACAAAAGCAAACACAGAAAAGCAAACACACACACAAACACAACCTACCTCCGGGTCTCTCGTGACGCCCGTCTGTGTGCAGTAACATGGCGATGGGCATGCCTACGTTCTTAGAGCGACCTGCGACCACGACGTTCTTCCCGATAGTAGGAATACCTGAGAGACGAGAATTTTGATGGTTTTGGTTAGAAGATACTTCAGTGAGCTCAGAGTTTGTTCAGCAGCATTTCAGCCCTGAGGAAGTAAGAGTTCTCGCCAGTTACCTGTGCGTTTGATCATTTCCCAGACTCCCCAGGGAGTGGCGGGAAGCATGGTGGACTGATCCAGGCACATGCGACCCACGTTGACGACATGGAAGCCGTCCACATCCTTGGTGGGGGCAACTGCATTGCAGATTGCGCGCTCATCGATGTGGTCTGTCACAAACAAAAGACAAGTTCGAGTCAGGACAACAAGTTCACAACGTGCACACAGTTCTTTCATTGTGTAGAAAAAGGACTTCCTATAACTACTGTCAGTGTTTCTCTTCTACTTTTCCAGTTACTCCATACCTGGCAGAGGCAGTTGGACCAGTAGGCCGTCCACACGGTGGTCTGTGTTGAGTTTGTAGATCAGGTCCAGTAACTCCTCCTCACTGGTGTTCGAATGCTTGCGAATTGTTTCACTAGAAATTCCTGTGGGAGGATGAAATTAGAAAATAACTTAAAACACAGAGAAGCATTTGCCCTTTTGTGATATTCTTGTAAAAGCCTTGCATTTACATGTACGAGGACTGTGCATGGGTTTCACTGACCAACATCAGCTGCAGCACGTGTCTTGTTCAGGACGTAGGAGTGACTGGCTGGGTTGTCGCCTACGAGAATCACACTCAGATGTGGTCTCTTGTGACCTGCTAAAACCCAGTTGTCAACGTCCGCCCGGGCCTCCTCCCGAATCTGCCTTGCTAGTTTCTTTCCTGAGATGACCTTTGCCTCGTGCCTGAGTGAGAAAACAAAAACACCAGGGTTAGCGTAAATTCAATAACTTGCTTTGTCTCAGTTTACGACTTCTATGCATTATCTTCCTCACTGTTGATACTTTTTCCGGTGAAGAAAAAGCTTGTTTCATAAAGGAAATGTCAAAAATGTTCATGAATGCCAATCTCTCTTTTTTCTCTGCAGGGAAGGACTCCACATTAGCTCTCGGAACAGGTCTCTTTGACGTTTAAGGGGACGTCTGTCTGCTGCACATGTTCCGATTGAAAAGGGCTTTTGACACCAGATACCTGAAATCAATCTCCAACATCCACCTTGGGAATGCAGCAATTCTTTTCTTAGAGCCTGCAGTTCTCCAGCTGACTGAGAAATATGTTTAATCAGCACATTGGCTGTAATACTACATGTTCAGTTCCTGGATTGGTGAAAAGCTTTTCTTAGTGGGAATCTTTGGACAGATTTCAGTAAGAGGTGGTTAAATGGTTAAAACTGAAGTGCAGTGCTCTTCATTATGCAAGTCACAGACAGGGTTAACACTCCCTCCTGCCTTAACCAAACAAAAGAGCCAGGATGGTTTTCCATTATGTAACAACAAACACAGAGAGCAGTGGTTAACAACTGAGGAGTAATGAGCCAATCCCCGGTGACGTAACACTCCCTTTCATTCTGTCAAAAGTGATTAAACCTCAGGGGAAAAAGTAGCACATCTTTGGGGCGATGTGGGGTGAGGCCATGGGGCTAGTAGTGAACCAGGTCCCAGAGAAAATTTGTTGGGATTACAGAGCAGCAAGTTGCTCTTTCACCTCATGAATTTAAATACTGAGAGAACTTCCCTTTTCACATGCATGAGCACATATCCATGTTAAAGGAGACCCACCTAAGAAAAAAGTTGTCTCTTAAGAGGATTTTCTGCAGGGTTTTTCCCCCCGTAGGTTGATGTTGATTGTTTTTAATATTTTCCTTTATGTTATTTTCGGGCTTTTTCTTGTTTAACTCACAAGTATTTTGTAAAGCAATTTGTAACCTTGTTTAGATAAGTGCTATAGAAATGTAAGACAAATACATATTCTTATTTTTATAATTATTATTTATAGTTGTGTGCATATTTAAGCAAAGCCTTGTATCTAATTTGGATCTAATTTAATAATGCTTTAATTGTGTGTCTATGTTTTGATAAGTGGTAATAACTCCTGCATAATGTGACATTTGCTTTAGATTATCTATCTTGTGACTGTGGAGCTGCAGGTCATGTGCAGGGACCACACGAGGTTTGGGTTTTTGAGACATTAGCCCCATTACATGTCTCATGCTGAACTCAGCACGTTCCCAATAAATACCTGCATGGGATACTGCAGAGAAACATCATCTTCCATTATTATTGTGATTATTCTACATTTTAAATAATCTGATATCATCCAGAACATTGTGGTCGCAATGCATTTGCCCGTCCGGTTCCTCTGTGTGCAGCTCAGCACCTCGATCTCCAGTTGAAACCTGGCTCCTCAAACCAGTGTGCAAGTACAGAGAGCGATTTCATCAGCCACTCTGAGGCTGCAATGTTACCGGCAAACCACCAGGGGCGCAACACTAGCGCGGTGATTCGGTACAAGGTGATCTAATAAATCCTCAACATTAGCGCACACGATGTGGTCAATACAAACCCAGCGTGGCACTAAATGAACAAACGCGGACATCTGGTGAATTCACACAAATCTTTGTTTCGATCGTGGAGAGAAAACAAGCGCCGAACATGTGGTGTTCACCGGATCGAGGTGAGAGAGACGCGGGCAGAGACTCACCTGGAGACCGACGTGTGCAGTTTGCAGACGTGGTGCTGGGAGTGTTGGCACAGAGTTCGGAGGGTCCTGAGCGCAGCCATGTTCTGATCGTCTGTGAGGCGGAGGGAGACGAGACGGGAGACACCGAGGCCGGTTACGAGACACAAGCTGCACAGCCCGGACTGACAGAGCGTCGTCTGTGAGAGAGAGAGGGAGGAGTGAAGCGGGTTATATAGTCCACCCCCCCTCCCCAGCCTGCGTCACTCCGTGGAATCTGCCACTCGTATATCACACTGACAAGCTTCCACTGAACTCCCCTGCACCCACACACTGACAGACTCAGAGGGGGGGGGTTCTCCCAAACACGAACGTTCTCCATTATCTAAATTGTGCACGCCACTGTGCGTCGATGGAGGGGTGGCCGAGGTGTTTGTGTCCACAAGAGATAAACAGCGTTTCAGCCAAATCCAATCGAAGTCACCGCTGACTGCTTTTATCAAACGTGAGGGAAAAAAACTACAGAAAATAACACAGGTCCTCTGGAGCCACGTTCACGTTGGCTCGCGCTCACAGCGCACACGTGGTGAAATGAAGCTGCTCTGAGTCTTATTTGAATGTTGGGGCTTCCAGACAGGTGGGTGACACCACAGGAGCAGTGTGGGGGGGTTTATGTTTTTTACGTTTGAGAAATCCGTCACTAGTTGTAAAAACTCAAGCTTTTGGTTTGGACTGTTGTAAACAACATGGCGGCCTCTGTAGAGAGGACCTGCTCATCTGAGGGTTCAGAAAAGAACAATTTGTACAATTTAGATGTAGCGAAAACATCAGCTGTACTATTATAGATTATTAGATTGTTATTACTAAAAGACACGTTTAGCTGAGATTGGTGAACATTTCTGATCTACTTTCTATAGACTGTGGGGAGGTTCAAAGTACTCTATAGTAATGCTTACCATAGGCTTTTAAAGACAGTAAGAAGTAAAAAGTACATTTCCCTCTGAGTGGTACAGGTAGGTAAGAATGCTGATATCCAGATGAACTCAAACAGAGCATTTGGGGAAATAGTCACAAGGCCAGAATAACCAGTTATGACACAACAGAGCAAATTTCTTTGGTTCTAATGCCTCACAGGCAGCCACTGTGAACAATTTATCTTCTGAGAATTTACATTATGTACACCACACACACACCATATGACACCCAACCTGAGTTGCAATACTTGTCAGTTAGGTTTTGGTAATTTAACTAATACAATAGAAAAAAGTGCTATTTCATTTGGAAAAAAGAATCTTTACACAACAGGGCGGCAACCTTATGGAAAAAGAATGGCACTCAGTAGAGCACATACCTCCGACAAGGCCCACCAGTCCTATTAAAGTCAATATAGATGCTATATAGATTTTTGTACTCAAAGATATCAGTTCCCTAAATCTCTTTTTTCATCAAGAGTCATTAATTATTCCCTGGAAAATTGTAAAATGTTGAAAAAACATACTTCCTGGACATGCACCAAAATTCAAAGGGTTCTTTCCTGAGCCATAGTGTATACTTCTGGTTTCACGGTGTAATCCTATTTTCAAACAAACCATCCAACAAACAGACAGGGGAGAAATCATAAACTTCATAATTGCTAGACTGTGAAGCTTGATTTTTTGTGTCTGGGGATCTATGGGCAATCTCCCACTTTCTACAACAAATCCACATCTACAGAATCTAAGTCTCTCATATATTAAGTTTAGTGCAAAGTTTTGGCTCTTTAATGTTTAGATATTAACCCATTATACAATATGAATATAAATACCAACAACGCCCCTCCAAGCATATAGTCAGAGTCTTAGAGAACAAGCTACAGAGACAGATGGCGTGGCCTGTGCAGAGCCCTGATCATCTACATTGTGAAATAAGTCTGGGATTACATGATGAGGTGACGACTGTGACACAGACTAATTCCCCAGACTAATTCCAGTGCAGCCAGTTGTGGTGAGTTCAGATGTTTGAACCAACCTCCTTGTCAAATACTTAGTCTTGAAAATGCGAGAAGTGTATGTTTGAAGAATAGGTGTTTTAAAGATAAAGGTTAGTCACACTAAATAAACATTTTAATTAGTTATTTCTTTTACTGCACTTAATATGAAGTTAACTTTCCATTATTCATTTTTAGTAAGAACTGAGGTATGATGTGAAAACACAACAAATTAAAGTGTGAGTGAAGTGAAGATGGACAGAAAGTTCAGTTTGCTGAGTGGACGTTTAGTTTAGGGGAGGGGTAGTACTGCGTTTAGCCGACAGGGGGCGACAATGTCCCCGAGGAGCTTCCACTGTGAGCCGATAGAGGAAGAGCCGCTGTGGGTGCAGCTCGTTAGCCTGAACGTCGCTGTTAGCAGGCAGCAAGCGACTCGCACCGTGTGATTATAAAAACTCATTTGTGTTCAATAAAACCTGGGACCGGAGCTGTGACCGAAACTCTCCAACGACCGCTTCGCCAAGATGAGCTTCCTGTTGTAAGTAAAGTTAGCAGCTAAGTTAGCTTCGTTGCGGTTAACGTTAGCTTCGCCTCCACGAACTTCCAGCAAGGCAAATCGCTTTTTAAAGTTAGACACCGTCACAGAAACCAAACCGGATGACTCACAAGCTTGACTTGTGCTTGAATCACGTTTTCTTACGCCGGGCCATCATTCGTCGTCGCAACATTATCGGTGTAGTTTAATAGTTAATAGTTTCCCTGCACCGGCCAACCATAACTTTTTTAACTAGTCTAGTTACGTGCTAACCTAGCTAGCTGGTATTTAATGCAAGCTCACGGCAAAGCAGACAACTTTGCTCATATAATCAGTCTATTCCCAGATAAAGGTAGACATGTTGACCACAGTCATCCTCTACACCTTAGAGTGGATCAACCTCAGTTACTAATTGACAAGTATTGTTGTGATCTGTTGTTTACACTGTCGCACTTGTCTTTCCTGTTTGTTGCGGGTATGTACGTTACACAGTCACCACTATGTCACAGTGAAAACAGGTCAGAACAAGTATATGGTTTGACAAATGCATCACGTTGATAGATGGTCAACATAAACCCTTCCTGCTGCTGCCGATTGCACAAACCAGACCGGAAGGATCGTCACATGTGAAGGCCCAAGTGGAGTATCTGCTCCCACGCAAGCCTTGGGTTATGTACAGACAGTTGCTAAGCTCCAAGACGTTTGTCTCTTTGCAGTGGCAGTCGCTCATCCAAGACCTTCAAACCCAAGAAGAACATCCCGGAGGGCTCCCACCAGTATGAGCTGCTGAAACATGCGGAGGCAACACTGGGCAGTGGCAACCTGAGGCAGGCTGTCATGCTGCCGGAGGGAGAGGATCTCAATGAGTGGATTGCTGTCAACAGTGAGTGGACAAAAAGATAACTTAGTAATAAATACATAGAATACAAAAGGCACAGAGGTAATGACATCTGATCTACTGAGCGGGCCACATGGCTTTCATAGCACTGCCATACAAGCCAGTAGCCTCTCTCAACGTTATTGTGATTAACAGGCTGAAACAAATGATGACACCAAGGTACAATTGAAGATATTATTTTCATTACAACAACCAGTCTTACAGAGCTCAAATGTGATGGTTAAACTGCTCTGTTGCTCAAAACATTGAACTGAATTGAATACCTTATTATTACAATCTATTCTTCTTATAGCCATGGATTTTATTATTTTTCTTGTGAAGCACTTTGTGACTTTGTTTAGATAAGTGCTATACAAATACAGTTATTATTATTATTATCATTATTACACAAACAACTGTTGATTTAGGCAAAACAAGATTAAGATGAGCGTTTGAATCAATATGCTGTTGTCAGACATGTCCAGGCATTTTGCCACTATGGTGGTAATTTTTGAGTTTTCCTTTTACATTTGAAGAGTGAAGCATGAGATTGTGCAGATCAGACATGTTAACAACAAAAGGAAAAAAGATTTTATGTTTGTCATGTGTCTGAAATATTATTCACCCATCCGCTTGTTTGCAGTGAATTATCTGGACATTTTCCCATTATGTTCTCACATGCTGGCATTTTCCAGACATTTTGCTTGGCAGGTAACATTTCAGCAAAATTTCAAGAAAATGTCCAAAAGTAAAAGTAAATGTCTGGATCAAAAATATGAAAAAATTTTATGTACATGATTTCATTAGAAATAAAAATAATGTACTCAAGAATGTGAAGAAAGAGAGCACATACCAGATATTCAAAAATGTGGTTGCACACTCATTCTTCAGGTTGAAAAGGCAACTATATGCCTGGTTAAATAAAACCTATTATGACTGTATAGTATTAGTATCATTGGTGTTGAATGTCATATCTGGAGAACAAAAAATAACAGTCTACATTTCTTTCAGCGGTGGACTTCTTTAACCAGATCAACATGCTGTACGGCACCATCACTGAGTTCTGCACTGAGACCAGCTGCTCTGTGATGTCTGCTGGACCAAGGTATTTTTTAAATTCTTTTTGGCTACAGGGCTTCTAATGGACCTTTTTTTAACAGAATACATTGTGACATGACACAGTAGGAAGAGCTTTCAAATGCTGCTGTGCTGTCACATGGTCATGGTTAACTGAGACACGTAAGTAGAAAAACCCCACTGTTAATTTTATCAGTTACGCTAGGCTTACTATGACTAGTCAAAGTGTCGGCTGTGAAAAACACTGTCAATACACTGCCTGTAAATGTGGATTAACTTTCTCTGCATCATAAGCACGAGGAACAGTCCGAATCAATAATCAGAAAACAGCACAGTTTCATTTAGCTATAAATACCTCTTATTATCAGAAGATCCTCCCACTTCTAAAGACAATGCAGTATCGTGTCTCTGTCAAAGAACAAATTAAGGATTTAACAGTAACTAATGAGTGCATGTTAGTTTATTCACGAGTTGTCAGAGGTGCACTTTTTACTTGTTATAGTGTTTGAAGCTACGATGAATTCTTCTTGACCTCAAGAGCTTGTTCTGGCTGAAACTTAATTCTGATTACAACTACTTAGTAATTAAAGTTGAATTGAGTTTGATTTTCAATTTCTATTATCTATTTCAATTACATCACATTTAGTGCAAAACCACCATTATAGAGTTTTGATGCAACATCATTTTAACTTTAGGCCAGTGGACTCATTTATGGTCCTGCTAAGGGTTAGTTTAAAGTTGGAGTGAGGTTAAAGTAAATGAATTTGAATGACATCATCTGAGTGTCACATGAGGAAAACAGGAATTATACTGTGCGTCTGGTCCCTGCAGAGGCTGTTAAGTTAGAATGTAGATTCGGCACTTCCTCTTTCCCCTCTACAGCCAAGACTGTCTACAATCTTTAATCAGGAGGAAGAGACTGGGGTTCACTTCCCGTTAACATATTTGCCAGCAACAATATGACTGTAGACATTTTCGCATTTCCCCCTTCTGCTCTGTTTTATGTTGTCTGCTACCAAATGATGATTTCTTATCGGACGGAAAAGTAGAACTGAGCACATGTATATAAGTAGGGTTTTTTATATTTGAGTGTCAGTTATTTTGCTCCCTTTCTGTAGATATGAGTATCACTGGGCTGATGGCACCAACATTAAGAAACCTATCAAATGCTCTGCACCCAAATACATCGACTACCTGATGACCTGGGTGCAGGATCAGCTGGATGATGAGACGCTGTTCCCCTCCAAGATCGGTGAGAAGTATTTTTTATTTTCAACATTTTAGCAAACTGTTTCAGTTCAGGCTTTTTGTGGTGATACTGATTGCAGGGTTGAGCTTATGATCTCCACGAATTTCACAGCAGAAGTTTTCTATCTGTAAAGTGCAGGGACAGAGAAAAAAAACATTGTGTAGTTGCATTGTTCTGCAGAGGACTAAACCACTACATGCACCAATTATATTTAATTTGGATGTTGTCTTCCCACAGGCAAAGTTGAAAAACATAAATGTCACTTTTTCAGATTAAGTTTTCCATCTCTGCTTCTTACATACTATTTCTTTCTATTTAGCTAACAGTCTCTATTTCATTTGATATAAAGTGTATGTTTGTCTGTGGTGAGTTAAAATTAGCCATTCAGAATGTTTTTTTCATGAGAACTTCTGCAACCAGATACCAAACATATCTGTACAGGCTCCACTGTCAAGCATTCAGAGTGCATTCAGAAAGGATAAGGGCAGTGGTTTTCTGTTTGGTGAAGAGGGACCTATTTTGGTGTATTGGATTTGATGAGCTGACTTTCGGTTCTAATAGTGTTGTCAGTATTCATGCCCCGAACAGTGTAGGACTTATAAACCTTTCTAAACATCGCCCATTTTTAGAAAAGTAAAGCAGGACAGTGTCCCTACACATACAGACAAAGCAAAGCAGTGTAATGTTATTTTCAGTCTCCTGATTTGAGTCCAGCTGATTATTTGTCTCACGTGAAGACCAGATGGACTATAATCTTTGTCCAATGACAGCTGAGAGCCTCAGTGGATGTTGCTCTTCTCTTGACATTGCTTTCCTCTGACCCACAGGAGTTCCCTTCCCCAAGAACTTCATGTCTGTGGCCAAAACCATCCTGAAGCGTCTGTTCAGGGTTTATGCTCATATCTACCACCAGCATTTTGACTCTGTGATGCAGCTGCAGGAGGAAGCTCATCTCAACACCTCCTTCAAGCATTTCATTTTCTTTGTTCAGGTGATTATCCAACTATAACCTGTTGTTAAATCACTGATGTGAATCTAAGACCTCGTCCAGAACCGGAATTAATATCCATCCTGAGTGATCCGATCACAAGTGGTTGGCTCAAAGTACAGTTCTGAATGCGTCCTGAGATCAGATCACTCAGAACACATTAGGAGGTGTTCTGACATGTGGCCACATTCTTTTCGATGTGTGAACACCAATCTGTCCTGGGCCACACATGAAAGACCTCCTACTCAGCTGACCTCCTCTGACCTGCTCCAGTTTCACAATAATTCAAACATATTTTACGCTTCTCATCACCATACGTTGATTTGTTTGTGGTCAGCACCACAATTTCAACACCAAATAACGATACTTTTCATAAATTGGTAGAATCATTTTTCTACAGCTTTGCATTCATACATTACCTTTGTCTTGATCTGATCACAGGAGATGCATTCATGATATATTTTAATGCGAGCAGACAAAATGACACCCCGTTCAGACCTGTGTTTAACATACGTCTTGGACGATCCGATCACAAGTGATCAGATCTATGTGCATCAGTTCAACCTGACATTCAAATGTGTCCCCACAGGCTTCCAAGGGACCGGTGGGTGAAAGAGGCAAGGGGGGCTGATTAATGATGAAGATTTTAATTTTAAACCATAAAAAGAGAAAATCAATATTTGGTCAATGTTGATATTGTGGTGATGGCTACAAAAAGAATCAAGGCATGGTAAACACTGACTGAACACTCACTGACTATTTTTAGTTCACTAGGACACTGAGGTCACTAGTGGACGTCAGCTGAGCCAGCCTTCCTTCACCCCTTCATTTGACCTCGACTACTTTTGTGTGTTTTCGAAGGTGATCAGTATCAGAGAGTGATTTGCGTTGATCAGTGTTGACACTGATATAAATAACTCTTGTTTTTCGACTTGTAGGAGTTCAACCTTATCGACAGGCGAGAGCTTGCCCCCCTGCAGGACTTGATTGAGAAGCTTGGATCCAAGGACAGATAGACATTTCATCACATACAGTATCTCCTTTTTTTTCCTCCAAGTGTTTCCTTTTTTCCTTTGTTCGTCTTTGTGACCTCTGCTACCTCTACAACTTCTTGTCTCAGTTCTAACAATCTGTGCCTTCTTTTCATTTCCTCATTGTTAGTAATGTATTTTCTTTTCTTTTATTCCCTCAGTTGTCTTTCATGCTGTCTTTGAGCCTTTTTTCAGTTTTGCCATTCTAGATCATAAATAGTGCAGTGTAGAAATGTATTTTTCACAGGACTGTATGGTTAGCAACTGACTAAGGGAAACTTACTGCATTTTACATTGGACCAAGGACATTTTGGAAGTTAAAGTGAAAACCAGCTTTTTCCGTCAGAGGTGTTATGATTGTCTAAAAACTGTTTAGTTATTTAGCTGATTTTCTTTTTTTATTGACTTTTAGCTATTGTAATTACCTTGACTGACCAAATATCCCAATATTTGATTTTTTGGAATGTCTGTCATTAATGTTCAGTGGAGGGTCACAGGACAGATAGCGAGATAAGTATTGACATGAATCCAGTCTTGATGACTTACTGTGTCAATAAAAGTGTGTAGAAGGTATTTTCAGTCCAACATGAAGGCAGAAAGAAAAAAGAAGTGATAAATATTGTATAGCTCTGTGTCACCAGCTTGTTGACATCTGATATCCCACGTACAGTGGAGTCCAAAAGTCTGCGACCACTTGAATGGGAAGGTTATCTCTCTCTCGACTTTTAGACCCTACTGTGTGTTAACATGCTTCTGATTTACATGCTTAGTAATGACACAGTCATGTGTTAAAGATCGTGAATATGATCTTGCCCCACAAAAAACAACATTTTCGACTGCATAATACTGCATTATTTCAATTAAGCCATGCAATATTGTGTTTTCCACATTTTCTCGGCTA